GCAGCTAGGCACCCACCCAAGCAGGTGAAATCCCATAAAATTTTCTTGGATGCTTAAGCACTTTTTAAAATCTGCCCTTAAATGTTTCAGAATGAGGGCTTATCTTTCCTGGAAAACAACAAACGCTTGCGAGTTACATTAAAAACTACAGGACTGGCAAGAATTGGGTTAAAAGACACTAGGATAGAACAATATAAAAATAGGGTGTAACTGGAGAAAAGCAATCTAAAGAAAAGAGATTAATATTTCCAGGAAAATGGAAAATTACTGAGAAAAGGCGCTTCAAGATAACTCTGTTTTCTGGCACTGCTTCCAAAACAACTTAGCTAGATTCCAGTGTTCTCCTATGCAAATTGAGTATCTATGAAGGCATAACATACATCTTCCAGCAATAGAGTTGTCCCTTGTATAACCTCGTGACTTAACAGTGGTGACAAACATAGGAAGCTTTACTAACAATAGGACCAATGGATTTTGGAACATGTGTAGTAGTGATTGAATGTAATGAAATTTGTGTCATGATTAGAAACAAGATTTTTCTGACCATTATCAGAGGCCCAATCATGCAGGTCTAAGACAGACTGCTAGATCACAATACTACAAATCATTTTTGTCTCTTTCTACCAAAAAAAATGGGGAAACCTTTCATGCCACTCCTGCAACAAACTAAAGGTCATCCTTTGAATGGTATCCAACCCTTTTTCTCTCTTAATATTACAAATAAATTGCTGTACTGCAAACTCCAGTAATTTGTCAGTAGTTCAGTGTTCCATGCAGCAGCAGAAGGAACAAGGCATGACAGCAAGTATTTAACTAATTGAGTCTAAGTTTCTGCAGATTTGGAACCCCCTTTGAGTTCCAAAACAACCACTGGCAACAGTGAAAAGTTCAGCTGCGGATACACATGTGTTCCTGTGAAGCTACAAAGAAACCAAACACTAGTTCATGGACAGAAAGGAAGGTAGTGTCAGCCAGGACGTGGTAACAGCAGAACTACAGCTGACAACCTTCAATGGGCTTACAGAGCCTCACCCAGAACTGATGTCTCCTTTTTTCCTTCTGAAAAATATGGGGTGTTCTTCATTTTTTCTGCAAAATAAATGACAACCTTTCTTCAGTATCTTAGCACTTCCTTCTTTATTTTGGTTATCTTTCCCCTCTCATCATTTATGATAAGTGCAGAATATTGCTTTTTCTTAACAAAGAATTATCCTTTTAACACCACAAAATAATCCCACAGTATAGTTTATGGTTTGGGATCAATCTTTTCTAGCCAGCCACGTGTTGTTGAGGTGTTCTCACTGCTCTGAATATCCCTGGCAATCACAGCAGTCATTCCCTAGTGGTACAAACACTATCAGTTCAGGCACTGGGATAGCTAGATGTGGCTGACTTCCTGGAGGAAGTCATACAGCTTTAAATGAATAATTGCAAAAGGTGTATGAAATTAGGATCAAAGCTTTTATTTTCCCTGCACTTTATTTTCATTTTGTTGAGGGCATGGGTAAAGTACCTGACACTCTGCTTCTCTCACCTACAAGGTTTCAAATGGGGACCACTGAAAGAAGCAGAGGAAGAGGTTGACTCATCCTCTTCAGTTATCTTGTGCTCTCTGGTGAGTACAGCCAGAGCCAAATTTGGGGAGACTGAACTGAGGTGACACACACCTACATTAACATACATGTGTAAAATTTCTCCCTCCAGTCTAAGGAGAAACCGAATTTAAGATACCTTTCGCAGTACACTTAGATACTGCATTCATCTCAGATCTATATATGTAGACTATCAGAGGTTTTGGAAAACATTTAAAAAGGCAAAAGAAGGGGAAAACATTCCCAAATGTGATGGTTTTACAAAAGGGCAAGGGTGCCTCTAGCTCTTGCTATGCTACCCTGTAATGTTTTTCTTTTGAGATTCTCATTTTTACCTGAAACTGAAAATTAAAGTTTTCTAGGTAGCTAGAATCAATTACAGTCTCCATGTGTAACAAGTTTGATTACAACAGAGGTTTTCACTGCTATTTTATCGGAGAAAATAAAAATGCAAACATATGCAGAGAAGCTGATTTGGCCTTTATCTTCTTCAGTCTAAAGAAATATTAAAATTTAAAACTCCAATTTTTTATGGAAATAAACGTTATTCTCACCATGGAGCAATAATGGTGATGCATGACATAAGTATATCTCCAAGTTAAGCATTTTACTGTGTATAAAGTGTGATGATTTGACTCTTTCACAGATCAGAAACTGTTCTGCAGCTGAATATCACATACAGTTAACATTGTGTTTTGGGGCAAAATGTTGGAATTTTACATTATAGAAATTTAATAATAAAACTTTGTTCAACTATAAATACAAGAATGCAGCAGCTGATTGAATTGAAAAAAAAGAAAAAATATTTTAATTACAGACTGTTTAGACTATTTAAATTCTATTTTTTTAAGCAGAAACTACTAGATATTCAGCCCATATCTATAGTTTGTAACATGAAATCCTAAATGATATTTAGTTAACCAAGTTGTAGGAATTATTCTTCTTATTCTGGCCTTCTCTCCAGAAAATCACTTTCAGATATTTTGGAATTGGACCAGACTAAGCAGGAATGAACTGAATAAAGTCTAAAACCTGATGGCTGCTAAACATTCATGTAACTTTAAAACAAATTACTGCCCATGTTAATTTGTATTCAACAGGTAGGGAAAAGATGCTGGTGTTAAAGAGTGCATGAGAAGAAAAACTGACATAAAAATGGATGCCCACCAAACACATAAACACAATGTCCAGAAAAGTAACCAATTGTAAAGAACATCCTCTCTTCTTCAGCAACAGATGTTGCTGAACTGATTTTAAAAAAAAGATACATTGCTCTGTGGGTCATAGGGTGCAACCGCAACTGAAAAAAATGTTTAGTGGCCTTCTAGTTAAAGTACATTGTGACACAGGGCATCAACACTATTATTGAACCAGGAGACAGCTACAGAAAAAAAGTATGTTTTTTTTAAACTATGAGCACACTGAAGAAACCAGACCAAATAATAATCAGACATATATGCATAATTACCTGTGACCTCAGTTACACTAATGATATATTGGAATCAGATTATTAAAGTAACTGAAAACTAATTTTTCAGATGGAAGTGCTTCAAGCAAAGAGTAACGTGGAATGGCAACTGAGACATCTGGACACACTCAGATATACAAAGGTACAAAATTCAAATATGACATTAGAAGAGAAAAACACCTCTTATTCACAGTATAATTGCACATGTAAATTCTCTAGTGAAATCTGTATAGTGCCTTAACACAATGTTAAAAACTTGATGGCAGAAGGAAATAAAATTAATTTGAAGAAATATTCCAGTTCTTCTTCTTATCTTTTCTATAACTCTGGTCTTTTCTATTAAGTATGTAGATTTTAATAATCTGAATCTTCCAATGAAACAACTTTAACACAGCCTGAATTATGTGCATCGATATTACTTCATATTTTCACACTAACTTCACACTAATTCACTTGTTACATTTTTTGTTGTTGTTGCTGAAGGCTGATCATAGTAGAAAGGCAAATTAGATTATGACTTTTTAAGAAGAGAAGAAAAAAGGGAAATAACCTAATGGATCTCCTGGACTAAGCCTAAGCCTAAGCATGTCTGCCTGCACAGTGTGCCAATACTACTAAATCCATAGAAATCAGAAGCATTAAGAAAAAATTTAACACCCTCATAAAAGAAAAAGAGATTAAACTCTTCTCACCAGCTTCTTCCAGGGACTGTACGGGTGTGCTTTCTTCTCTATAACAGAAGAAAGTTATTCTGTGAGGGAAAGCTTTTCAACAGAACTCTTTAAAAATAGGTTAAAAGAGTAAAGAAGAGAGGGCTAAAGCGTTTCTCTAGCAACCACAATAATTCTTTGATCTTACTTCTTCGTGCCATTAACATCATGGATTTTATCCGAATAACAATAGCTTATGAGCCACAGAATACATATATAAGGTATGTTTAGATTACCAATTAAATGCATATTTTTGAAGAGCTTTTACAGCATGTGCGAAATAGGTTGAAGCAGGAAAATAAACAACTGTGCAATGTAACAAGTATTCTTACTGTTTCTTTATTAGTTTAAAGGGACCTGGAGCTAATAACAATCTGCCTCTTACAGTTCAGAGCAAAGCTATTGATACACAGCTACTTACTTTGCATTGGCTTCTCTCGGGAAGTTGTTACGTACAGTACAGAATTAAATTTTTCACACTTAACACAGCATGTAAGTTAACAAACTTCTTCAAACACAGTGTATAAAGGAAGGAAGGAATCTCTAGAGTCTACAGTATTCATGGGTTAACTTGTTTTCTATGTTTTCCTATACATTTTTTTTTCTTTTTTTATACAAGTCTTCTCCAACATTGTCAGATCTGTATTCTTAAAGATGACAAATGGTCACAAAAAGTCTCAACTTAGACTTGCCACAAAAATCAAATCATAACTGAATAATTGTATGACTAGCATTAAACTTTTGTTCTTAATGAGGTTTGATTAAGAATATATGCACAGGAGAACACTATGTTAGTTTTTTTACTTGTGTCCTATAGAAGTAAAAGGATACCATGCAGAAATTGAAACCTGCCTGGCATTCTTTTCTCTTGATTAAAATTCAGCACATTAAACAGGTTGGATCTATGGCTACATGACATACCAAAACCACGGCATCTTCCAATTTCAGATTACCGGTGTCTTGCAAAAGTTCATTTTGTATCAGCACTCTAGTTCAGTGCATTCTGAGTGTTAAAACTTCCATTCCAAAGAGGCAGTAACAAACTCCTAGAAATGTACTATCATACAACACACAGCTTCAGCTGAAACTTTTGAATTGTGGAATTAAATCAAAATAATGCTTTCAGTTTGGCAGCAGCATATCTGACCAAGACTAAAGGGATGCTGCAGTCAATAAAATTCTGTAAAATAATCTTCATGTACAGAATGGCTCTTTTGAATGATGTAATGCAACACAGTGAAGTACATGAATTGCAGTGGGTAGAATGATGGACTGAGCAAAGAAAAGATGCATTCACAATGAGAATTGAGGCAGACAAATTATTAGTCAAAAGGCATCTTATGCGGTATAATTTTAATACTTAAAAAAGGTAATAACTTTAAAAGCCCTCTACTTCACATTTTAGATAAGAGCTCTCACTTCTGTAAATATTAATCAGTATCTCTAGAGCAAACCCCTTATTGTACTAAGCTGAAAGAAACACAAGTCAGTTGAACCGCTCTTCTGGGAGATGCTTGAGGGAGTGTAGTCAAATTTCTGCTTCACTGAGCTTACAAATCTTCAGGTGAGGATGTTACCGCTTCAGACTCTGTATTTTGCTTTGCCATGATCATTGATAACACATATGTGCTGAAAAGAATATAACACTGATTGCAACAGCATAGTTGATTACATTATTAATTATTAATGAATTGTTCAGAAATACTTTCGCTTGACAAATCTAGTGATCTTGTAATTACCCCTTCCTTTCCAGAGACTGGAATTGAATTCTGATTTCACTTTCTAGCTACAGCAAGTTTTTCCACTTGCAGTTCCCAGCTTTGAGGTCCACCCCTGGGAGTACCACAGGAAGCAGAGGCAAGGCTTGCACCTTTTTTCCATCATTATCTCGCTGAGAAAAGGGGCAGGCAACATAGCAGTAGAAGTCCAAACCTGTCTGAACTGTAGCTGTGTTTCACTTTTTACTGCTGTCTCTGCACTTTCTGGGAATGGACCTGTGAATGAACCTGTGAAATCCTATGCTTACAGAAGTTGGAGGTGTAGGAGAGGTATGACTTCTGCTCTTATGGGGAAGAGATGGGAAGGAACCGCTCACAGCGCTGAGCAGTGACTGCTTTGGGTTATTTGAGGTTTTGCAGGGAGTTTTACACTCACTGAAAGGATCCCAACCATGACAATAAGGCCCCAGGGAGGAGGCAAATTATGGAGTATTTAAGATACCCTGGAAAATATAAAAGAGTGATTTTTTAAACTATTATTTTTTAAAGAAACTTACGTTTAGATCTCTGAAGTGCTCATTGTAGTCTAAGGCATAACCTACCACAAATAAATCTGGAATTTCAAATCCGTAATCTGTATTGAGACAAATAACAAACACCATCAATACAAGATCAGTGGCAATTATATAGACCTTAAATTCATGTGTTGGTTCTCTGACAAGATATATAGTCAGTTGAGGTTATGTTATTTTTGACTCTGAGACATCAAGGTCAGCAGTAGCCCTATGCCTAGTTCCCTCCCACAGACTATTTGCGACAGGCATGTAACAGTCAGTGGAGGGTAGGAGAGTTGTGTACAATTATCAGTGGCACAACAGACACACTGTGGAAGGAAGCCAAAATCAGAGCTGAAAAATTCTGCCTACATGTGGAAGCTCCATTGGTATACGTGAGTGATGACAACTGTCTAGTATCACACTAATGACAAAAAAAAAGTACAATTTTAACTCAGAAGAAACTTTCAGAGATTTATATATTTTCTTCTGAGAATAGCAAAAACTATTTTGTGTATTATGCTACCAAAACATGTCAAATGCTTCCTAAATTAAAGCCCCAACCTTATGAAGACTCATGCACATGCTTAACAAAGTAAATGCATGCAGTGTAGCTGAATCATAAAACTCACACACTTCAGACTAAGCACAAGCATGTATCTTTTTGAGTGTGAAGGTCTGTGCAGTATCAGCACTATATAAAACAAGTTAGACTCTTTCCAAATTGTTCACTAAGTAACTAGAGAAAAACACAACCTTATGGACACAAAAATAGATCAGCATAAAAAATTTTACAGGTATTCAAGTAAGGAATTTTTTTCAGTTGTTGAAATTGTGGGCAATAGACACTTTGGAGTCATAAATTCAAGTAAGGGAGCAAATGACACAGCACTATCAGTGATTTACAAGTGATCTCTAATGTTTTCTAAATATTCATCACAGTATGAATAAACAAGGATAAAACCTGTTTCATTTTACAAGTTATTATATAAAAATATTAAGCTAGCCTTCATGAAGTTATTTTATTGTATTTTTAATATGTTTAACATCAGTGAATCCAGTTGAATATATACGTTAATTTACTGGATTAAATTCTAAATGTTAAAAATACCACTATATAAAAAGTTGTACAACAAAATGTTTGTGTCACAGTTCAGATTATTGGGCTAAAACCGCAGGGCCATGCCCAACATTGAGTAACTTTTGCTTCATAAAGTTTCCCTCTCTCCCACATCTCAAATCAAGACCCTTCATGCTGCCTCCTGGTACTCACCTGCCTACTCTCCTTCTACCCTCCTCCCAGCTCAGCTGACCAGAGCCTTCTTCAGTAGCAAATACTGGTCGATCTCTTCTAGATGGATCTATTCTTTTCAGTATTTAGCCACATACCTGTTATTACATCATTTATTCTAATAAGTCTAAAATGACAATAGCTTGGTATAGCTCCATTTATGGCTTCATCATAGCACAGTACAAGTACCAATAATTCAGAGAAAAGTGGTGCTGGTGTGACACAAACAGAACAGCAGGAGGAAGTTTAAAAAGCCCAATTTATCTTTTGCTTTTTTTTGGGGGGGGGGGGTTAATTACAATATCATTGTTTACCCTTTAAACAATAATACTTTCCAAAGAATAATAAAAAGTGTGATTCTGTTATAAAAATGTAAAACTTGTGAATAACTAGGTCACAATAAAACACCTTTCATGTTCAGATGGAATCCTGCAGCTCCTCCAAAGAGATGCAATGGGGAAGGAAAAGGAAGAAATGGACTTTCTCTTCTATATAGTTTGTCAGAGACAGAAGATAAAACACTTAACCTTTCATGGATAAAATTAAACGCTTTGATAACTTCCCTGTAAAGTTAGTACTCTGCAGAAAACACCAGACTATAAGGAGGCTAGGCTTTCCAAACCACAATTATACAAATCCTTCCATTGCATCCCGTAGTCCCATTGACAACTGATATTTTCCAATGCTTCTAGAAGACCATAGAATGATATGAAAGGCAAGTGGTAGAATAGCGGCAACTTCTTGTACTGTCACGTAAGATTTTCACAACAACACTTACAATCTGGTCTGTACCCATCAGGCCGAGACGTTCTTTTCACCAGCAAACTGTAATTAAAAACAAAATAAAACCCATGTAAATCTGGCTATTTACCTGAATAACATGCATAAAACCTATTCCCTTTATCAAAAAACTTCCAAGCCATGTGAATCACTGTTCTCATTCCACTTCTCCTCCTGACAACCTCCTGATGGCAGGGAAGAGATGGGTGTGTTCCCCTGCAAAGTCCATCAGTGCCAGTCTTGAAATGGCTGAAGGGTCATTGCCACTACAGAACAATACAAAAGCATTTCCTCTCCTTTCCTCCACCCTCCTCTTAGTGACTCAGGCAGCTCCTCTGCAGAGCTCCCCACGCGATACTGCAGCACCAAATTAAAGCAGGATCTCGGAATGGGAACCTCCACTGCAAAATAGGTTGGGCTAGACTAATTAATTACTTAGTTTTGTGATCATTTTACTCACCTTGCCACTTTAATCATTTTTGGCTTGTATTTTTCTATATTATTAAGCAGAACCTTCATAGTCCTTCCAGTTCCAACAATATCCTTACAAAACATGAAAAATAGGATAAGTAAAAAACAAAGAAAAGCTGAAAAGAGGAAATCTGGACAATGACTGAGCAGTTCCACCTTCTTATTTTGCAGCAATGATGGTTTTTCCCAGCGTATTGTAAGCCACATCCAAAAAAGGTTATAAATGAGCTCACACTCTTTGAAGCAAGCACTTTCTACTCATAAAATAATCAGTTAAAGGACCATCTACTTCGAAAATAGCTATGTTTCTAGTACTTGGGACGTAACACGGGACTGCAGATGACTTTACTGGGCACAGGGAGGATGCAGGGATCAGACTTTTCATATTATGCTGAAGACTACAGCATGTCAACATCTCTCCATGTCATGGCTAAATCTGCCCTACTTGTTGTTTTATTAGTCCAGTACAAATGAGTATTCTCCAGAGCTGCTGTGCCCAACCTGATCTGAATGAGATCAGTAGATACGCGGGTACAAAACTGACCATGACATGGAGAGCAGCTGTTGATCCTGAACTCTGTGGGTGTGAATTTTTCATTAGCAACACCTTGTCTCTGCTCCCCAGCTATCTAATAGCATTAACAAAATTTGCTGCAAACTTTTTGCATTTCTGTTACAGCAGTTAGTATTAGCAAATACGGAGCTTCTAGCAGCTATTCAGGTAACCAGCCATCTCTGTGGCTGATGACTTTTTTTCTGTCCTTTGCCAAGAAAAGACATTCCAACATTTATACATTTCCTTCATTACACTGCCCAGCTTACTTCCCACACAAGCAGACTGGGCCTGAAATGCCAGTCAGATCCTGATGTGCTCTTTAACCATCCCGGTTGCTTTTCCAACATTTTTAAAGAGAATCACCTTCACTAATTAAGAGAGAATTTGCAGCACCAGTGAGGTGGCACATTCTTTTCCCCTACAGCTGAACGCTGTTGATTTACATCAGCAACATATCTGTGATGGGCCCTCTCCAGGGGACACTGCAGGATGCAATGCTAAAGAGCAGGAGTCACAGGGACTTGAGAGAATGACTGACATTCTCAACCCATGTGTGAACCACCTTGACATAAAGCATGTGCAGGGCTATGCTACTATTTCAAAGTCATGCAACTGAGAAGTGCAGGGCATCGCTGCAGCTGATTCATTGTCCTCCAGGGAACAGAACAACTTGCAGAACAGGAGTTGATGAAACCATAGAAAGAACAAATCAAATGATGCAGAAACAAAGACTCCTGGGTATCGCAAGGCAGGTTACCAATTAGAGTGGCAGCAATGTAGTTTGATCCATCTAGCAACTGCGGAAGGATTGAGAGGTCATTAAGCAAATCAACCCCTCTCCCTCTTCACCACCTCCCAGCTAAAGAAGTTTAAACACAGATGGGTTTTAGAAACAGAACACACAATCACAACTTGACTATGTGACTTTATCTAAGTACAATATGACATAAGCACCCAACTTACCTCCACAATTAGAACATTCTGAAAGAAACAAACAAAAAAGAATACAATTACACAATATTCACAAACTAAAAGAAACAAATGTTTGAACAAGTGAAATGAAGATAGATAGCTCCATACGCATATGTACAACACAGTAGGACACAAGGAGTGTCCTGCTTCATTCTTGTGCTCTGAAAAAGAGCCAGCCATAAGCGCAAGACCTGCAGTCAGGAGCCACAACTTTATTTAGCTCTGTCTAGATTATCCTCTTCGTGCAAGAACAGATGTAGCTTCAGAAAATAAAATTAGATGAAATAAATCCAAATGGGATGAGCTTCACTTCATTCCAGTGTGTCTAGCCATGTACTACAGTGTACTCTCTAGTTCGCTAAAATACTATTTCCAATGTTAATATGAGACTACAGCAGTAATATTCTTACTCTGAAATGCTTTTCCTCCCACCCCCCAGAAACCTCACAGTAAAGGATTACAGGCCAAGTTGTACCATCCATTCTCATACTGTGAAGCACCCTCTTTCTCTTCAAATGCTGCTGCTGAAATCAGTAGTATTACTTGAAGAGAAGGGGAGTGGTCCAGTCAAGGGCAGTGATGTCAAGCCTTATGACAGCAGGATCACACAGGCTGATCTTTTTGCTGAAATTACTCACCACTGTTCCAGGAATCACAGTATCTAAGGAGACTTCTATTCTTCTATTAAAACCAATAATACGAAGTAATGTCCTTATTAGAAGATATAAAAATCTATTTATTAGTGGGCATTACCATATGCATGTTCAAAAGGATGGACTCTTACAATCTTGCGTTAAGATCTACTTTCTGAGGTGAAACTTGCAATAGCAAGAGGGAAGTTATTTCACAAATACCTATATACTTATCTATCTATCCCTGTATATATCTTATATGCATGTGCACACTGTATGTCCCGCAAAACCTTGAGACAGATGGTCTCATATCCATGCAGTATTCACCAGACTAGCTTACATTCCACTTCCTTTCTATCAGGCTTGCTGGCTTTGCTACATACATAATGTGGGGACTGCCTAACTTCCTTTTCCATCACAGAATCCCAAGGCTGAGATTTCTGAGGAAGACGCAAACACCATGGAGAAGGAGTGTGTGAAGGGAGTGTGCTCATAAACCACACACCTTTGACAGTTTCATTAACTGGTATGTAAATCTTCTTTTAATCTTCAAAACAGAAATTATTTATATAGTTTATCCACATTTATAGTCATACTGCAGTTCCTCGTAACAATCACAGTGCTTGGTAGGGAGACATAGCATGCTTCGTGCATCAACCACTGCAGAAACATGTTACCACACACTGTATTATACCTGGATGCTTCTGAAATGGCAAAACACTTGGTAAAGGTGTGGAGGCAACTCCCGGTAGTAGTTCAGCAGATGTCAGCAATGGAGATATCACTCAAGAAAGCCACTAATTTAGACTGAGCTCTGGTGGAATGTGTATTAATCTTGGAGGGTGTCTCCTTTTTGGTGTTTTCATAACAGGTTTCACTGGTGGTTATCCTGCTTGGCACTCCTGACTTTCAACCTCTCAGCTGTTGACACAAACAACTCTGGATCTGAAAGACCTAGTCCTGTGCAGGTAAAAAGTCAAAGGCCTCTTAAAAACAAAAGTCGAAAGATGCTCTGCCTCTAGAAATTTCTTCCTTCAAGAAAGAAAGGAAGCATATCAGTCCTCTAGATAAGATGAAGAGACCAAAACCATGTTCAGGGGAACTTTATGACAGGTATGCAGGGACACATTTTCTTGAAGGAAGACATTTCGATCCAAAAAGGGTTTGGCTCTCATCTGGCTTCCTGGATGAAGTCATAACTCGGAAAAACATTTCCAAAGAATAGCCCAGGACACCTGGGTCTGATGCTTAAGCAAATAACTTGATTCAGTCAGTGGACACCTTAAGATTATGTGCAGGAGTAATGGTTTAACCATCCCCCAGGGAACTTGCACAGCTGGTAATGTGTAAATGTGTAAAATATGTAAATATTTATGTATATATATATACATATACACACATATATATACGATATAAAGAGAAGAGTTGACAAGGAAAGAACCTCACCACACCTAAAGATGGAAATGAACTCCTTTAGTACCAGCAAACAGTCCAGGATGTCCACTATGACTTGACATCAGCCTGACACCCTGACCCATTCTGCCAGTTTTGTGCATCTCTTGCTGCTCTTCATACTGTTGACAAGAACTTTCCTCCCAAAGCAAAAGCACAGATCTTGTAGTGACAAGACCTATCCAGCACCTATGGCATGAGATGGGACATACCAAAACTGACATGGCTGCAAAGTCCTGCATTAGCAGACTGTGTCAGGGCTGGTTGCTCCCTGAGTGAAGGGTAGCCATGAGCTGAGCATAATAACACAGCTGGCAGTGCAGGGGCCTCACCAGCCAGGGCCCAGCCCCACAGTGCCCCAGCGAGGCAAGCAGGCAGACTTGAGACTTGTTCAAACAAGAGTGCCTATCATCAGGTGAGTTCACGGTGAGGAGGCAGATCTGAGGTCAAGCTGGGATGTCAATCCACAGGTTGGGATCAGGTCCAGTGAGAGTAACCATGATCAAACACAGCTCACTGATGTCCAGGCAGGTCCATAGTGATGAGACAGGTCCAAGGTTAAACTGGGAAGTCAGTCTGTGAGTTAGGGTCTGGATCAACATCTGTAGTAATGTACAGGCATGGCTGTAGCTGAGCTGAAGATTGGTATCCATACAGCAGGGCTCAGGCACGGACTAAAAGCCCAGAATTGAGCTGAACTGAGGCTCCTGTGCCCACAGGTGTGGGTAGGGGCCCCAACTGACACAGGTCATGGCCATTAAGGCCTATTACCGCACACAGGGCCATGACTGATGGAGAGAAAAGCATAGTCCTGGGACATTTCGTTGATAGACAAATAAATTTCTTTGCTACGACAGCTGCTTCAGCTATCCTATCATGAGCAGCAATAGGAATTCTCTTGCTTACTTGCAAGTGGAAACCATAAAATTAGACAGAATGAGGGGACAGCAGCCTCCCTGGTCATGGCATTGGGATTAAACCAATAGAGAGGAGCAGACTTTACTAACTTGTGAGAAAAAAATCCTAGACATTATAGACGTTAATAGAAAATGGGGCTGAGGAGACCATGAAAAGTCATCAAGACTATTCCATTGGCCCAAAGAATCAACTTCAAACTATCCCTCACAGATACCTGATTTACCTGTTCTTGAACATGATGAGGACTTCAGAACTTCCCCAGGCAATGTGTCTCAGTGCCTCATTATCTAAGAGCAAAAAACTAAGTTAGAAAACTTCTGCTGCTATTTGACCTGAACTTGTTTTGCAGTGGACATAGAAAAAGCTTTATTTTCTTCTCTTTTTAACTTCTTCTATATTTGAAGATGGATGTATTTCCTCAGTTTCCTCTTCTTCAGATTAAACAACCCCTATTTATTAAAAATTTTCTCACAAGTTATATTTTCTAGGTTTCTGATCATTCTTTTGTTCTCCTCTAGAACCTGTCTGGTTGGTCAGAATCCTTCTTCAGTTGTGGTGCCCTAAACCAGAGAGAAGCCTTTTCCAGTGTCGAGAACAATAAAAGAACCACTTTGTATGCTTTACAAATAATCCTCCTTTCTATATATTCCAGTACAACAGTTACATCTTTTATAAAGGCATGCTGCTGTCTCATGTGCAACTTGTGATCCACCTATTGTCTCCAGTTCAGAACTTTTGCTTAGTCAGTCCTTCCTCACTTGCATTTATGCAAAAGATTACTTCTATATAAACACAGAAGTTAGTATTCATCTTTATTGTCATTACATGTCATTCTTTGAACCAAATTCTTAAAATAATTTCTTAAGATCATAATACTATCTTGTAGTATTTTTCCAGGTAGTATCACTAGCATTAAATGCTAATTCTATCTTTTAAATCATGAATTAAATATCATATAGTCCCTGGAGAACATGCTTGAATGCATCAAGCCTGACAGTGAAGCATAATTAACTGTTTCTTGAGAACAGTTTTCAAACCAGTTATACAACCGTCTAATAGAAATTTAATCTTGTCTACATTTCCTTATCACAAATGACTCATATGAAGGAAAGAAGACTTAGATGGATCCAGACATGCCTGAAGGGTTTGTCTGGCCACAAGAGTGATAGTCACCTGCACATGACTTCAGCTGAAGTGTTAAGATCTCATATTTATTGACTAACTTGAGAAGGAAGGATATTGGTGGACCCTGAAACTGTCTGACCAGCATTCTGTTATTCTTGCCTCTTCTCCTCAGAGTCAAGGCGTCCAATAGTTGCAAATGATATGCATTGGGAGATTTGGTCCTTTGAAAGTCCCTTTAATGAGACAGTTGTCTAGGTCAGGAAACATAGATTCTGTTTTGTATTATGCATATTCTCATTACTTCCAGAACATTGATGAGGATTTTCCATGCTATGGGGAAATCCTGTATGTAAGGACTTTGTAGTGGAAAAGCCACTACAAAATATTTAAATGTAAACACATTTTGTACATTTAAATAAACAGGAATCCTGATCTTTGAGAGTGATACATTAATCCCTGTTTTGATTAGGCAGGGTTACTGTGACTAAAGTCACCATACTTAACTGAAGGCATTCAAAATGATTTGCCATCCTCTGGTACCAAAAGCCATCTCCTACAAAATGACATGATGTGCTGAGAAACTGACTGTATTGCTGCCTATCCCCCACCTTTCTCTTGTTGAAGCAGGTTACTGATAGAAGGGTTCCAGAAAAGGGACGGCATAGCAGAGTAGTAGAGGAACAAACTGCCAAGAAATGTTTTGATACACAGTATCCAACACTAGATAGTGGTGATGGGTAACTAAAACTGGTTGAAATAGATCAGCTTATCCTTGAGCAGATGGGTAGGAGATAAAAGAAGAAAGCAATGGATACAACAAATTAGTACATTATCAGTAATGTCACCATCATCCTAAATGCACAGCTGGCTGCATCCAGCATG